GAACGTGCAAGGAAGAAAGAGATTACAGGAGGCATGGCAGTCGAGCTGCACCTGTGCATACGCGGTTCGTTCATCACGTGGAAAATGCAGCTATGGCCCTTACCCTGGGAACAATGCTGGCTACGATGGGTACTATTTCCCGTAGGAGAGGAGAGGAGAGGGAACGTGAGCTCGCTCGCGCGCACGCTACGCACGAAAAGATGGAGAGAAGAGAGAGAGAGAGAGAGAGAGAGAGAGAGCGCTGAAGAAAAAAACAGAGACGGACAGAGGGGGAGGGAAAACGAGTTGGACGACCCGAGGAGGTCTTGTACACCGCATTTTCTCCCCTTTCATTTATGATTTCCTCTTTTCCAACCAGAATTGTATATTCACCAGCGACCAGAGAGAGAGAAAGAGAGACTTTCTTAATAAACATCGGTGTGAATCGCAGAAAAACCTCGAGTTAATCTGTTAACCCCTGAACAAATTCTTTATCCAAACGTTTACACCTTCAAGCGCGAACACCTTTACGCGCCTGTGCGCTCAGAGGAATCGCGGGATGCATTTCGCACAAAGAGGGATCTGGCCGTCACGTGCCACGGAATGAAATTATCGATTTTCTTACAAAAACTCTATCTATCTTTAAAAGAGACGTTTCGTTTCGTTTTTAATCGAGCATCACCCGTCCAATCTTTCAACGCGTAATCCTGCTCGAAAGAGAAATGGATATATATATATCGAACTAGCTACAATCTAGAATAGGAAGAACGGTTTTGCTGTAAACAGCGAAGAATGTGGAACGTAAACGAGACACCTATACTTGAAACGAGACGTCAACGTGAACGGTATACACGTCGATGTCCTCGACTTCCGGTCCCCGTTCCAATTTCGAATCGACCGCTTTCGAATCGAGCTCGACTTCGATAACTTGTGTTATTCTCAAGCTCTAAATTAAACGTTTACGCTTCCGAGATCGGGGGTTATTCCTTCGAAAGAAATTAGAGATTATTTACGATATTAATAACAATAATAAGGAAACGTCTTATAATAATAATAATAATAAAAATAATAATAATAATCTCGATGCTCCGAGGGGGGGAGAGAGAGAGAAAAGAAAGAGAGCACACGATATTGCGATAAAGATTAAAAAGCAGCGGGTAACCGCGTAACGCGAAATTGCTCGATGTCGGTCGAACTATGAAGAAGGTTTCATAACGAAAGACACTTTGATACATTCACCCGTATAACGTTCGGACATGCAGTGTAACGTGCATAAATATGAATATGTGCTAGGAGATAGGCTATATATCGCTTGTTCTATTTTCTGAATAGGATTCGAAGTAGATGTCGAGAACTTGTCACTCCGTGATTTATACATTTGTCTGCGCCGGAGGACGAGATCGTTTTCCATTCCCCTTCTACTCGTCTTTTAAGCCTGTCAGGTCATACCGAGTTCCAATACGAAAGGGAGGGAGGAGTCTTTTTCGTTGAGCGAAATAGAGAGAAGAAAAGGAGAAAGAGAGAGGGGGAAAAAAAAAAAAAAAAAATGAAAGCAGCTATGCCCTATGAAGCTAGATTCTCAAGGATAAAGCTAGCCAAGGTTGCCGAGAGTGGAAAGATTCGATCGTTGGTCGTATTTCGAAGCCAAGTTTGCGGCAGGATGCCTCGACCGTGTGCCTGATGGTCAATTTATTAGAGCGGAACTTATTTTCAAAATTATACACGATTCAATCATGTCTTAATGTTTTTAACGGAACTCGTGGATAAATCACTCGTATCTGGGAGAATGAGGGACAATAGAATGGGACAAAAACCGTACTTACTCCGAATACTTTAAAAATATAATCGAACGAACGAAACGAGCAGTAAAGAGAGAATCGCGAGCAATGACGCAAGCAGAAAAAATGACACGCGTCTATTTTTTTCTGCCGACTATGCTCTAAAAAAAATTGAAGCAAAATAATAAGAGAAGAACACGCTTCGAATTTTAAAGATTATATTACGTTATCGTTGCCTTTTAAATAATGTCGTGGAATACCATTCGATCTTGTTCATCAACCAGATTGAAAATCGTAAATGTCAAAAGTTTGCCAAGTTGCATAGTCATCGTTGAAATAAACGTCTATTGTAAATACTTTGATTTGCAATTACGAAAGCCGCGGCATCACGCGTGCATCACAGTTTACGATCTTCTATAATTAACCTTAGCCGAGGAAGACGGTACGGCGTTAATAATTCGGTGTTAATAATAATTTCGGTGAAAAAAAATGCTAGTAAATCATGCAAACTATTCCGTCCGTTCTATTGTCGTTCCGGCCGTGCCTTCACCCCTGGATAGGCAGGCTCGTTCGAATGAAACGCGACTTCAAAAGCAAAGGAAGTCCGTCGAGAACCCGTACAAGAGGGTTGCTCGGTGGTTGGACCGCTCGTTAGTATCAGCTGCTTGCTGCTTAAAAATAACCTCTTCCTAGTCACCAGTACAATCGCTAAATTAACGCCGGTAGCGACGCCCTTCGCGTGGAAAACCATCTACAGACTTTAAATACATCGTTCTAGAACTATTAAGGATTCTTCGAGTTCCAGACTGGCTAGACATACAGAATCGGTTCGACACAGAAAAAAAAAAAAAAAAAAAACGTTTACGAGGCATGTACAAGTGTAAGGCATAATCCATTAAACACGCTTGTTGAATAATAAAGATATTATGACGGTACGAACGTGTCATACATCTTTCCGGATGTACGGCTGACAAAAGGGAGGAAATAGAGTTTAATCATCCGAAAAGTCAAATGTTTCTCTTCGAGGTTTCAAAGCGTCTCGTTGAAATGTTTAATCTGATAGAAGTATATAAAGTGTATATATCCATTCTAATCAATTAATGCGATTAATGGATTTGACTAAACAGCTTTTGATAATAATCAGCAAATCTCGTGGTACATCTATTTAGAACGTGCCTAAACTGGTCCGATTGCTTTCACAATTTACGAATACGTGATTCGTGATTTATTAATCACCATGCCAAAATATACTTGGAGCTAACGCGAGAACTAGGACAACCTTCTGATAATTCGTTAGAATCATCCCTAACCGGGTCCAAGAACAACAACCGGTTGCTAGACAGACATACGTCGTCATTCGTGTAATTTTTCGGTCGCTCGCTAATGTCTCACAAAGGCGAGACACGCTTATTCGCACGTTATTCCCCCACGCGTATTGTCTCGTACCGCAAAAAGTCGTATTCCTCCTCCCGAGAGAAAGAGAGAGGAAAAAAAAAAAAAAAAAAAAAA